GCTTGTGATACGATAGAACCTAGGAATGTTGGATCAGTGGAGCCTGAAAGTAACGTGAATTTAGTTGATCTGAAAGAAGGAGAGCACAAATTGGAAATGTTTCTATCAAGGATGCGTAAACAGCAACTGCAAACACCACCCACCGAGCAGGCTTTCAAAGCTGAAATCGCTAAAGCCAATGTTAGAAAGGTGAGATAAGGTGTTAAGCAAGAGCACAACTTCATGCCTCAACAGTTCATGCGAAATTGGTCGTAAACTGAGGATTCACTCACTTAAGACTAATGTCTTTGTTGAAACAATCATCGTTCACTCACATTGACTGCAATTATCGTTGCTATGCAATGGAGAGAGTAACTGAAAATTGAATTGTTGATCTTGTATCGGTTTCTGATTGAAACAGCGATTGGGAACGCGTCTTGAAGATTTCTAGTTAATCGTACAGGTTCGAGAATCGGGAGTCATCGTCAGAAGTCCAGAAGCAGTCGATTCGTTTGTTTCACCAATCTCCTCGGAAGGGACTGCGCACAACTTCAGTTTTGCATCACCCATTCAAAACACCAAAATTCTGGTTGGAAATTTCTTATTTGCTCTCAATTAATCATCGTTTGAAATTTTGATCAGCTTTCTCATACCACCGGCATGTTACCGTATAGCGTCGAAAAGGATATATATCTCTGATCAGTGCGTGCGTCTTTCGCACAGAGATTGCCTAAACAGCTGATTTAGTAATACGAATAAGTTCAGCCGCCTGCTGCCGTATTATCAAATGGTCAACAAACCGTGGATAAGAATCAGTCAGAAGAATGTAATGATGCCAATGCAAGTGCCAATCAAGATGAGTCATTAAAACTGCCACTAGAAGAATACAGCGATGACGAGAGTGATGAGGAGCATGCATTGAATCAAGGCAATTTATTCGATACCCAGTCACCGCCATCTGAATTCGCCAAGTTTTGTGATACTTCTAGAAATCAACCTGTAAATACTGACTCAGCAAAACAGGTAAAAATGATTGTGATTTTTACTTGTGAAATAATTTACGTTAATTCTAAACGGTTTTGTTCTTATGCAATTATTATTATTTTCATTAATGTTATTATTATTATTATTATTATCTCAAAAAATTGGTCATTCTTCATTATCTAGATCGTTCACGGAGCTGATCAACCGGTACAAAACGAAGGCCTAGATACAACAGACTTAAGTCGGATCCAGAAATGGATTACTGCGACAGCAAATGCAGCACGAAGTGACGATCACGAACAGGTCACTTTCAGTTTACTTCTGAAACGTATCGCTGATTTTTGAGGGGAATTGCCAAAATTGAATAAAATTCACATCAGATACGTCAGTAAATCAGTAAATCAAATTTATTTTCTGAGATTTCAGGAGAATGCGATAAGTAGTCCAGCGCAAATCTACGTAACACCACTGCGAGGTGGAGGGTTATTGCCACCGAACTTTTTGAGTCGGGACTCGAGAACGTTACATCCTCATCAACACCATCGCCAATACAAACCAAGAGGAATTGTCCGAAGACGAGGCCTTCATAAATTATCGTTTACAAAGTACGCTAGAGATAGTTCTCGTCGCTTTAAAAATGAAACCGAAGAGGGTATTGTCGAGATAAATCAACCAGAAGACAGAACTAGACCAGATCAGGCAAATATTCATAATGATCATTACGGCAACAGAAATAATTTCGCATCTGATCAACTGAATAACGACCATGGCAGTAGCAATAAGAACAAGGAGAGTCTATCAATTGATAAGGAATCCTCCTATCAAACAGCTCAAGAGGATCCCATCGAATGCCGCACGAATGAGGCGCAGAATTATCAGCATGTTCAAGATCAAGATGAAATTCCTTTACATCGTCAGTTCCTGCAAT